AATCTTAATTAGAGGTTTAATTTAAGGATTTAAATACCATAATTAGATTCAGTGAGTGATTCCAAGTATTTTGACTGTAATCATGACTATGTTATGAGCAGTGCGTTCTGCCGGAGAATTTACAGTTTTGTGAATTAACCGGTAGAGCTTAAAAGAGCAAAATAATTTTAGAGACATAATTTGATAATTCTGACGACAAATATGAGTTCAGAACGAAAAATTGTATAGTCTGGCACTTTCCGTGAAAATCTCGTGAATAGTGTTTCTACCGGGTATTTTTACTGCTGTTTAAGCAACCGGTAGAGTCCAGAAATAAAATAATTGGTGAAATAAGAATAAGAAAGTCCAATATATGCCAAGCAAGTCAATATAGGCCCAAGAAAATGATAAGTTTATAAGTTTTAAGTTGCATAAGTAAATAAAGTACAATTAGTGATTCACAGTGCATTTCGTCAAAAACGGTGCAAAAACCATACTGTGAATTATGAATATTGTTTTGTAAGAAATAAAAATTAATGTAAATGATTTTAGAAGAAAAAAAATATGTCTGTAACTTTAAGTTAGTTCCGGGTCAATTTAAGTTAAAATACGCGATAGAAAAACAACCGGTTAAAAAGCCACATGTGCTTAAAAACCCCTAAGTCACTTAAATTCACTATTCCCTCACACTTTCTCTCTCCCTTTTCCCTTCCCCACCCGTGGCAGCCATGGCAAAAGGAAGCTTAGGGTTTGTTTTTGTTTTTCTTTGATTTCTCCATGATTAAGCAACCAAATCTTCCACCCATTATACCAATCTCGTAGGAAATCATCCAAGGAAGCTATTCCAACCCTCCATTTGAGCTGATTTCGTTTGTGGAGGGAGATATTTGTCATCTCATTTTTGTAGCACTATTCATCCAAGGTGGAAAAAAGGGATTTTTGGTGGAGACTTGCTTGGAGGTTACCTTCTTGACCTTGTATAAGCTTTTGGAGGTAATGAACCTCTATTTCCATAGTAGTATCTTGATGATTTATGTTATAAAAGTTATGATTATGTTTTAGTGGGAAAGAATTGGGTGTGAAACTTTGATTAGATGATGAATATTGGTTGTTTTGGATTTAGGAAATGAAAATGAGCATTTGTATGTATATAAAATTATTAGGGAAAAATCATATACCTTTCTCTCTATGTTTCGGCCTTAATAGGGTCCATTATGCAAATTTTAGTTAATGTATTAAGAGGGTTTATTGTGTTGGAGTAAGTATGAAATTAGGAAGAAGGCCTAAAAGGAAAAATCCTATAAATACTTGCCCTTATGCTTCGGCCTTGGGGGCTTTAGAGGAGCTTGTCATGACAAAATTAAATGAGACTTGATGAACATATATATTTATGTATGTGTAGTTGCTAATTAAGGGAATAAAGAATAATTAAAAAGAAAAGAACCCATTTGCCTATTGTCCTTGTGGAGTTCGACCTATAGGGTGGCTTAGGAATATATTTTGTTACATTTTATTTTAATAAAATGTGTTGTAATGTATTGTATAAAATTGATGAGTAAAGAAGTGAAATGGCTTGAATAAGGGTTGAAAAATACATTGAGTTCCTAAAGGTAGGTTCACGGCCTTTTAGAGAAAATGGCATGAATTATGTTGAAAATTCTCAAGTGAACACTTGATTAAATTAAGGAAATCCTAACGAGTATAAGGTGGTCTAGACTTGTGTATTGGCGTAGCATTGGCAAAAACATAAAGAAACGAAAAGAAGCGATAAAATGTATGCCTTATGTGAAAGCTAGGCATGATGGCATTTTATTAAATTGTATTTGTGGATTCTTGCTCTAGGTGTACCTAGGGACTGAAAAGGACCAAAATCTCTTGAAGATATAAAAGTAACTTGTGTCACAGGTAAGCAGATTGATAAAGCTTCAAGAGGTAAGCTCTATGTTTAAGGAGTCTTTTCCTGCTTGAGTGCTCCACCATGGTTAGTGAACTATGGTTGGACTGTATGACTGTTATTTAGATGCTTTGTATAGATGCATTCATATAGAGTTATTTGATAACATGATATGTTTTGCTCTGATATGACTTCTGTAATATGATTTTTGTAACAATCTCTGGCCATTGATTGTATAGTACCCTGATGTCCGCTTTGGGGTCCTTCCTCGAGACTAACGGTGTATGCCTCTGATATGTCTGGTTCCGCTTTGGATTCCTCCCTCGGGAACACGTGCGTTGATTTCTGCTTGGTGTCCTCCCTTGGGAATGACGGCGCACATCTCTGATATGTCTGGTTCCGCTTTGGGGTCCTCCCTCGGGAACACGTGCATTGATTTCCGCTTGGGGTCCTCCCTTGGGAATGACGGCGCACATCTCTGATATGATATGGATATATGCTCTGTTCTGTTATGATATCTGTTATATGCTGTATTCGTATACTCTGTATCTGACTTTCATGCAGGAGTGAGCTAGGGGTATAGAGAATTCTCTATAAACCTGGAGCTTATTGAGATTTGTAATCTCACCCCTCGTTGGGGACATATTTTCAGGTGCCCAGATTCTCGGTGAGTCCTCACTAGGCAGGGACGCGACACGTGGCTGAGGCAGTTGACGGATCGGATTTTGAGTGGCTGTAGGCTACTACTTTTTGGAAGTATACTCATGTCGTTTTGTATTTCCGCCTTTGATGGATCATGACATTGATCCTTTATTTTGTATATGGCCTGTATATGTTTTGTACATGTCGGTCAGTTTGATGCATGTACATTTGAGTATTCAGGAACGTTATATGATGATGTAGTATTCAGATAGGTTTACGTTTGATGGCATGCTGTTAGATATAGTGGCACGGAGCCATGTTATGCATGCACTCATGTATGGGTATTTGATTATATTTGGATATCTGGTATTTCTGAATTGATATGTTGTATAAACTGTTTATCAGGAAATGCTTCTGAGTGGGATTGGAAAATCCCAGTTGTCTGATTTATAGAGGAAACTCTGCCCGATTTTCGTTTACGCCGAGTAAGAATTAAGTTAGAAAAAGAAAAAGTTAGCTCATATTTTCGTAAGTTAAGTCTTCCGCTGTTTCTGTTTATATCATGTGTATGTTAATTGAACCGGCTCGAGACGGGATGTTACAGTAGTCTTATTTATATGTTATGAATTAAATCAATCCTACCCTTCAAAGCCTAGAGTTTCGAATTCCATACAAATATTAAATACAACTCATTCATATTTGTACCTAGTATAAGTTGTTCTTAATTTAAATTAAGTTCACACTAAATATATCTATATATATATATATATACATATATTTCGAATGACAAGTCATGCTTCCACATTATTAATGGTAATTTATATAAGTGCCTAATTTTCACGGGACGTTACAGTTAGCAAATCACGGTAAACGATACTGGGACCTTAGCCAGAAATGGGGTGGTGTGTATGCATTGTGATTGCATAAAATAGGTTAAAAAGATAGATCAGTCATACTTGTGGTCTTTAGCTCCTATTTATAGAGTTATTTGGGCCTTATTTTATTATATATATATATATATATATATATATATATATATATATATATATATATATATTATTTATTTATTTATTGTAAGATAAATTAAATATAATAAGCGATGAATAGATGATCTATAGGATCATTAAGAGATAACCAAATTTTAAATCGTAGAGAAGGTGATTATTGAAAAGGTCTCTTAGTCGCAGTGTCTAATAGGTTAGTTTCATAGGCATGATTGTGGGGATATCCAAAATATCGTAACATGAAAGCCTGAATACATTTTATAAGGATATCTTTTTTTCCCCTTGCTAAAAAAGAATGACATAAATCACAAAATTTCTTGTTATATAAACTCTCCTCCCAATTAACTGATTCAAATAGACTGGTGAAAGATAACAGAGTGAGTTCTGATATTATTTTTATTAATTTGTTAGAGAAGTTTTCTTGGTATCTATTTCATTTTTAGGTAGCGTTTCTCGATGCCTTGATGTTTCAAACATATGACCTACTTGTGGTAATGGACACATGATCTGCTAGTTGTAATGTAGTTTTGGTAGTTTGTGGAGAATGTTAATAACGTACGTCATATTCTTTTAATCTCTCTTATAAAACATAATAGCTAAAAGTTCCCTCATTATAATTCATTATTTTGCCGCTTAAGTAGGGGCTAGTTATAGAAAAAGGATCTAGGACGCATAATTATGTACTTTTGGTAAACAGTAAAGTGAATTTAGCCACCTCTACGAGGCTAATGGAACTTGTTCTCGTTGGTGAAATGAAATTTCTGCTATATTCTCAGTGAATTTAGAGGTGTATGTACCATTCAGTCTGAGGTTTCTTAAAAATACAGTTGTTTTAAAACAACATGGATAACATATTAAATATAACATAAATTCACGGTTTTTAAGGTATTCTTTTTAAGCTTAGCTTCTTTTGTCCAGGCTCACTTAATTTTGAAAATTTGGTGTTACTATGCAATTGCAATGTATGGAATGGAAAGATAAGGGTTTGGGGGTAGAGTTTATATGGATTTTGGGTTCTCTTGACTTATTAACCAAATTTTAGGGCGAAGTTCTCACAAGGTTGATATCATTCAACAACAGAATTCATCTGATTGAAAACTTTTTAATCTGCCTCTGCATTTTAAAATCAGCTCTTTTTTTTTTTTTTTTACCTCTTTTCGTTTTTCCCCCCATTTTAGGAATTCAGCCTTCAAGTTATTTGAGTTTTGAGGGATGCAGCCGTCATGTGCATACATGTAATAAAAAGGTAACTTGGAGAAAACATTTCTACAATAAAGGAATCTCTGTATTTCTGTGTAAATGGAAATATGGTTTTTAATCTTTATGACCATTGACTCAGGACAAAATTGATGCTCCATGCAATGACCAAACCAAAGGCTTTTACTATAGTAAAAGGTTTCATTCATCAAGCACTAAAAGCGAACCACTATCTCACTCTTTTATTGTCATAAACAAGCCACAAAAACTAAAACAAAGGTTCATATTTGTAGGAAAACAAGCAAAAAGAATAACAGAATGTTGAGAAGTCTTCAACTAGACTCCAATCACAGAATCATCTTAGCTCTGAGACTCTCTTCTCTGCTATTCTTCTTCTCTTCAGTTTTGAGTGCTCATGGCTACCCTACAAGAGCTAATATCTTCATCTATGCAGGCTGCTCTCAAGAAAAATACCAACCTAACTCACCCTTTGAAGGCAACCTTAATTCCTTTCTAACTTCAGTTGTAAGTTCATCATCTGAAGTTACTTACAATAGCTTTGCTATAGGAAATGGAAGCTCAACACCACCAGAAGGAACCATATATGGCTTATACCAGTGCAGAGGTGATTTGCATCCAATTGACTGCTCAAAGTGTGTTGCAAGATCTGTTAGCCAAATTGGCTTGGTTTGTCCCTATGCCCTTGGGGCTTCTTTGCAACTTGAAGGATGCTATCTAAGATATGAACATAGTGGTGATTTCCTTGGTAAACTGGACACCAGCCTAAGGTACAGGAAATGTAGTAAAGCTGTGACTAATGATGTTGAGTTCTTCAGGCGTAGAGATGATGTTCTTGCTGATTTGCAAACAGCTAATGGATTTCGAGTCAGTAGTTCAGGCCTAGTTGAAGGGTTTGCACAGTGCTTGGGGGACTTAACTCTATCAGATTGCTCCTCTTGTTTAACAGATGCTGTGGGAAAGCTGAAAAACCTATGTGGATCAGCTGCAGCAGCTGATGTGTTCTTGGGACAATGTTATGCTCGGTACTGGGCATCTGGCTACTATGATGAATCAGGTCCTCCATTTCATTCTCATTCTTCTTTTTTCCTTACAGTATTCAGTAAAAGTAGAGGCATTTTCTTCTGCAAAGGCAAAATATTCTACCCCCTGATGTCTTTTTCTACTTTAAACGTTGCTACTAATTACTTTATTGCTCATCCAATTATGCATCAAAATAGTGTAGAAGATGAGCACACATAAATGAAAATTACTAAACCAATTCATTCTTAGGGGAGAGGAGCAAGAAAAGCAGGAGTTGAAATTGTTTTTAATATAACTCCAACTACTTACACTTTTGCCATAAATGACCCTTTATAGAGAAGTGATATGAGGAAATGGAGGTAAAAGGAAAGCTGAACCACCTAACAAATTGCCAAATGCAATGGTCAACAAGTAATCTTTTATGAACTAAAGCAATCAGAACATATGCTTGTACACTTTATTTAGGAAAATACACACTTTATGCCATTCCTCTTTATTCTTTCGTTTGAATACCTATTAATATTGAGTTCTATAATCTTCACCTAATCAGTTTAGTTGTGAACCTCAGGATCCCATCTGTTTCATTCATTTAGTGTCATATAGAATTTATTCGAATTACATTTTCTTAATAAGAAGAGATATATTAATATTTAATAAATAATAAATAGAATTCAAACATTCATGAAATGATTTAGCATAGTGCAACGACTTGTACTAAAAAGAAGATAGCTAGGAATCTGAGAACAAACTTTTAACCCCCAACATGAAAAGTTATATATTCCTACCGAAATACCTACACTAGTGAGTTTTTTATATAGAGCTTCCACTATATATGCTTGAAAAATTAATTAAAGCTTGGGATCAATTTGATTATAAATGTGAAAATTGTTTCTCTTTATCCAACATTACGCATAAGTATATTCATAATATAAGATTATAGCCACTGGCGAATCTAGAAAAATAACGAAGGGTGAGGTCTGATCTTTAACGCGATTTATGAGCAGCTGCCAGCTGACTGGGTCTGGTTTAGATCTAGATCTATATTAGGCTTGGATAATGAAGGTGGAGGAGAAAAAAACTCACAGAAAAATAAATTAGAAGGAGAGAAATTAAAGATGTATGATATTGTAACAACCAACTAGGGTTATTACCAATCAATTTCACCGTTAGATCAATTATGTTGATTCAACGGTTATATTTATTTTCATCTTTATAGGGTTATGATCCCCATATTTAATGTAAAAACATTAAATATAGGAAATCATAACCATACAAATGTGAAAATAAATATAAAGTATTAAATATGAGGAATCATAACCCTATAAAGATGAAAATAAAAATAACCGTTGGATCAGCATAATCGATCTAACTGTAAAATTGATTGGTAATAACATTGGTAGTAACCTTAATTGGTTGTTATAATATCCTACCCCAAAATTAAATTAGAAAAACTTGAATTTAAAAAAAAAAAAATTATATTTTTAAATCATATTTAAGGGTAGGCACTTGCCCCTCTTCTCCCCTAACTGGATCCGCCTCTGATTATAGCTGACTCAAATCTTATCTCCCTTTTCTGCCTTTGATTCTGTTTTCAAATGAATACCTACCATTAATTCATTAAATAAATATATCCCTCTTAAATAATGTCTAATCTCTTAGTTAATAGTATATTTTTGTTTAGTTTAATGTATATAATTAGGGAGCGTATCATGTCAAATCTCGTGCAAAATAGTGTGCCTTTGCTTTTATCCAACTTGGTGTTTTGTGCAGATTCCTCCAATGATGACCAAGTGGGTAAATCAGTTGCCATTATTGTGGGAGTGTTTGGGGGTCTAGCCGTTTTAGTTGTACTTCTCTCAATTTGCAAAAAAGTAGCGGGTAACTATTCTCCTAATATTGTGACCCCTATAATAAAATGGATATCATTGAGGAAATGATAGTGCTAATGATCAATATTTCTTCATTACATGCAGGTTAAGAAGATAGAGGTGCTAAAAGAAAGGGGTAATCATCAGGAAAGGTCCTCAAATGTTTGTTTAAATTTATTGAAAGCCATGCTTCACTTTTTGGTCAATTTAATATAATATGTTTTTCCACAATGGAGGGTGGATGTTATCTTCTGGTTTATAAAGTTGAACTATAATATCCATCAACTTAGAAAGGGCTGCAGATTGTCTTGCCTTGGTGATGTCCAACAAAAACCCATCATTCTTTTCTTTATTTTAAAACTGTTTCTGGATTACTCTGGGGTGCACTTCTGTCTAAATTACTTGCCTTTTATTTTGTTGACTTGTTTTAGTGCCCTTTTCGAAGGACAATTGTAGAATATTCTGAGAATTTTAACTTGTCTACCGAGTCCTCTTGGGAAGTTTCTTGTTTGAAATGACATTTTGTGCCAAATTCCATTTCATATGCCGTAGTCACAACCTAAAATTCGTATGGAGGCTTTTTGCCTCAGACGTTAGTTCAAAACAAATGTACGCTCCGTTGATTTATTTTGAAGGTTTAATTCATATTTGATTTACCTTATTTTATTTTTTCCCAGCTAAAATATAATTTACATACTTTGTAAGGTTTAGGGTTTAAAGAAGAATTGGAGAAGAAGAATCGAGAAGGAGAAAATGAGAGAGATAGAATTTTGTCCAGCAACTTTATGCTTTTCCTCTTTCTATTTGTTTTCTTTATATATTTCCCAATAACCAAAATAACGTAATGGATAATCCAAACACATAAGGGATAACTAAATGCAGTAATGTAAAACTAGAAACACTGTTCAGCCCATAACAAAGTCTTCATATCGTTTGGGCTTGATAACTAGCCTTTGGGCCCTTAGTCTTCATTCTGTCCCATCTGGGTGCCTGGAAAGGGCATCAGCTACAATATTAGTCTTTCCGGATTTGTAATGGATGGTGAAATTAAACCCCATTAGTTTTGCTAGGAATAATTGCTGCTCTGGAGTTTGGATCACTTGAGACAAAAGGTGGTGCAGACTCCGTTGGTCAGTGTGTATGATAAAATAGGCACCCAGTAAATACTGGCGCCATTTGGCAACAACAACAGAGATGGCAAACATCTCCCTGATGTATGTAGACTTAAGTCTCATTGTAGGAGAGAGCTTCTTGCTAAAAAAAGCAATCGGATGGTTGTTCTGGATAAGAACAGCACCAACACCTGTTCCTGAAGCATCGATCTCCGAAACAAATGGGATAGAAAAATCTGGCAAAGCCAGAATTGGGGCATTTGAGATCAGAGCCTTCAATTGGGTGAATGCCGAAGTGGCAGCGGGGGACAAATTAAACCTGAATTTGCTGAGTAAATCAGGTAAAGGGCCTGCAACCGTAGCATAGTGCTTGATGAATCGGCGATAATATCCCAAGAGGCCCAAAAATGCCCTGACTTGCGTTTGTGAAGTGGGTAGTGGCCATTCAACAATTGCTTGGACCTTGCTTGGGTCAGGAGCCACCCTTCACCAGAAATGATGTGACCCAGGAATTGAATAGAACTCAATGAAAAAGAGCACTTAGACAGCTTTGCATAAAATGAATGACCTCTCAGAGTATGTAAAACTTGTGATAAGTGATTTATAGGGTCTTGTAAATTAGCACTATACACCAAAATATCATCAAAAAAAATAACCACACAGCGTCTAAGGAAGTCAGAAAAAACCTCATTCATTGTGGCTTGGAATGTGGATGGGGCATTAGAAAGCCCAAAAGGCATAACCAAGAATTCGTAGTGACCACGGTGTGTGCGGAATGCTGTTTTGTGAATGTCAATGGGCTCCATACGAATTTGATGGAAACCAGAGCGCAAATCCAGTTTGGAAAAAATGGTTGCACCATGAAGCTCATCCAATAATTCATCAATAGTTGGGATGGGAAACTTGTCCTTAATGGTAACAGCATTAAAGGCACGGTAATCGATGCAAAAACGCCAAGTCCCATCCTTCTTTTTAACCAGCAAGATCGGAGAACTAAAAGATGTGCTAGTTCTAATAATGCCCTCAGCTAACATTTCCTTGAAAATAAGGGTAACGATAGGCTCTAACTTGAACTGGCTTAGCATCGGGTTGAAGAAGGATTTTATGGTTGGTAGAACGGTGTGGGGGCAGTGATTGAGGTGAAGCAAATATATCAGTAAAATCCTGTAATAAAAGCTGAATTTGTAGGTCAATGTGAGAATGGGCCACTGTTGGGGTTATGTGAGGCGAAGGTTGGGATGGGAGGGTAGATGTGATACACATGAGACAAGAATGGACTGAGTGTTGAGCAACCAAGCGATTTAATTGGGATGGAGATAACACAGTCGGTTCAAGGTGGAGGTCACCTTGCAGGAGCACATTTGAGTGGCCTTGTGTGAAAGACATAGTCAAGTGATTGTAATCAGTTAAAATAGGGCCCAATATAGAAAACCATTTTACCCCAAGAACAATATCAGCCCCTTTAAGTTCAATAACAAATAGGTCAATTGAAAAAGGTTCTGATTGCAGTAGTAATGGCACTTTCAAACATTTGGCAGAGCAAAGTAACGTGTCTCCATTTCCCACTTGGACTGTAAACGGTGAGATCGCATGCAGGGTGAGGTGGAGATAAGAAGCCATTCTTAGTGTGATGAAATTGTGTGTACTGTCGCCATCTATGAGGACTTGCATTGAGTGACCCGAAACAGATCCTTGTAATCGAAATAAACGAGAGTTGCGGTGTCCAAAGAGAGCATTAAAACTAATCTCAGGAGATGGAGGTTGTTCGGTTGGTTCAGGGTCAGGGGGTACGGGATTAATTTCCTCTCCAGCGAGTTCTTCTTCAAAACCCTCCATGTAGAGAAGGGCAGGTTTGGCCTTGCATTTATGACCAAATGTATACTTGTCATCACAATTAAAGCAAATGTTTTTTTCCCTCTTGACCTGCATTTCGGCAGGAGACAACCGCTTAATTGGAATTGCCGAAATGGGATGAGAAGGAGTAGCTGAAGGTAAGGCTGGAGTGGTCACAGCCGTTGTTGGCTTACAGGCCCAAGGTTTGGAAGGTTTATTAAGATTGAGTTGATCTTCATAAACTCTAGCTAGAGCAAAGGCCTGATGAACGTCAGTAGGGCGGTGTGGTATAATGAAGTTACGAATACAGGGTTTCAACCCTGAGAGGAACATGCTTTTGGTAAGGGCAGGTGAGAGCCCAGGAACCTTGCTTGACAGACGTTCAAAGGAGGTTTGATACTCTTGGACAGTGGTGGTTTGATGTAGTTTTTCAAGCAAAGAGGCTGGATCCTCGAATTCAGTATGGCCAAATCTCTGATTGATGGCTAACACAAATGCTTTCAAGTAATAATCAACCCATCTCGAGACATACCTTGGAACCAACAAGCGACAGGATCTTCCATGTGGAAAGAAGCTAACAAAAGTTTATCAGCTTCAGGGGTTTGGTAGTACGTAAAGTATCTGTCAACAGAGAAAAGCCAACGAGTGGGGTCTCCTTATGAAAATCTAGGTAGATCCAGTCGAGGAGAACGATGGGCTGGTCCAGGACCCAGAATACCCGGATTACGATGAATGTCGCCATTGTTATGGTTATGAGGCAAAGAGCGTTCCAGATCTGCTCGAAGTTCATCTAATAGTTCTGCGTTTTGGTTCTCCATGGCGTTAAAGCGGCGATCGTGGGCCACTTCCCAAGCCGTGAAGTGTTGTGCGGTGTTGGTTTCCGTCGTTTGAAGACGTGCTTCAACATTGTGGAGCTGTTGACGGAGTTTTGTAATTTGCTGTTGCAAATCTCTCATCCTGGTATTTTCAGCCATAGGAGGAGATGCAGCAATGAAAGCACTAGTTTGTAAGGTTTAGGGTTTAAAGAAGAATTGGAGAAGAAGAATCGAGAAGGAGAAATGAGAGAGATAGAATTTTGTCCAGCAATTTTCTGCTTTTCCTCTTTCTATTTGTTTTCTTTATATATTTTCCAATTACCAAAATAACGTAATGGATAATCCAAACACATAAGGGGTAACTAAATGCAGTAATGTAAAACTAGAAACACTGTTCAGCCCATAACAAAGTCTTCATATCGTTTGGGCTTGATAACTAGCCTTTGGGCCCTGGTAGATTTGTCCACAGTGTGGGCTAGTGGGGTTGAAACCGCAAGGTCCACTACATACTTCAACTTTATTTCACATGTCTTATTGTTGGTGATTTAAGAACGCGGAACCTATCCTCGTAAAGTTTATTGATGGATCTTAATTAAGACCCGTTACTGTTAAACGCTGTCCAATTATTTAATGGTGTTTTTCAAATCATCATTCATAACACCAATGTTTTGGTATAATTCCCAAATCCAATTTCAGTATAAAGTTATCAAATTTTGAATCCATTACTGAACTCTTCCAAATCTAAATCTCAGAATCTTTCATTCTTTCATTCTGTAAAATTACTCTCCAAAAGCAAAACTTGAAAATTCAATATTTTTGACACAACTACTTTAAGAAAAAAAAAGGTAAAAAGAGAGAGAATTTGACTATTTGCGCAGATTTTTGGTGTTAGTCATCATCATGAATTTCCTCAGCCATGCCAAATACTACCCTCAAGGAGACAGAAGGCAAGCTGTATTAGGGAGAGAACCGAGACAATAGATGAAAAGCAAGACCAGAAAGGAGGGTGGTGTTCTTTCTTTGTGAAAATCTACAAAACAGAAGTATCGTGAATCAGTAATATTAAATTGATAAACAGAGTACGATTTTTATAAGAGTGATATGATTTTTGTTTTTTTTTTTTAATTACCCACCGTGTTCCCCTAAAATTTTATAGAATACCAATAAGCCCTGCAATATTTTTAGGAGCTGAATGATACTAAGAACATAGACAACATGAGCATAAAATATACCATATTTACCTTAATATATTTTCCTTTTAGTTATTTATCTCTTCATATATATATATATATATATATATATATATATATATAGGGATAGGATATTGTGACAACCAAATAAAGTTACAACCAATGTTACTACCAATCAATCTCACCGTTAGATTGGTAGTAACGATCCAACGGTCATGATTTGTTCCTTATATAGCCTCTCTCCTCCCTTCTCTCTCCTTCTTCTCCCTGACTATACTCTCTAACGCAGCAGCCGCCGCTGCCGCCCATAGCCTCCGTCGCACCGCTGCACTCTATCGCTGCAGTC